CAGAGTGGCTGGGCACTCCCTTAGAGATGGGGTGAGAGAAAGTGTGTGTGAGGACTGTGATTCTGCTGAGACTGTTGCCCCCGCAACACGGCTACGGATGAAGCGGAGGAAAATGGATGGACGAATGGATGGTTAAAACTGGAGCCACAAACCTTGATCACATTATCCCACACATTTATTTTCAGTTTTTGCCATGGTTCAAGTAATCAAACAAATATCTTGGATAATAGTCATAAACCATATTGCTGCATGGGCAAACGGAAAAGCCTACTTCAATCATCTCTTGAGTCTGTGTGTGGCCCAAGCCCCGGCGTTCCAAGATGGCGCCGTATTCAAATTAATGGTTCGTGCTCCGTGGTGCATGGGCTGGCACGGGCGCTGATATATTAGCGGAACTTTCCTATATTTGGGCATCGTCTGGTCCTCCCGACTCTGCGCAGTGGATAAGCTCCCAGGATGCGTTGCGCCAAATACGCGTGTGTGGCATGTTTATGTACAGAGGGGCTCGGCCGCGTTCTGACCAATCAGAGCGGAGCTAGAGCAGGAGTTAGAGCGGGTGCCAAACGAGCAGAGTTTGCGGCAGTAAAGTGTGGAATTAAAGAAAAGCGAAGGATTTAAGAAGAAAATAAGTTCAGGATGACAAGGGACACTAAAATCCCCAAAATCAGACTTTTGTGAAAGCTGTAGGTACTCTGTCAGCTGAGGTCGAGCTGTTTTAGTTTACATTGAGTTCTATGGGGAAAATTTCTGGGTAGCCCACGTGAATTTAGTCTGGTTTAGTCTGCAGTACAGCGAGAATCCCGTGAGCACATGGGTCCTTGAGCTCCAAGCTAGTAATACCCTATCCAGTTATTATAATAGATCCATGGTGTGGCTTGCTCCATGTGCCACCATCTTGTGGAGGATTGCCACATTATTGTATTATATTATGACATGGCATAGTCGATCAAATTACGACAAAAAATTTACCGAAAGGCCAAATCGGCATTTTTACTCCCTGTACATTATTTTCTGCTTTTTCAGACAAATCCGCCTTAATATTTTCCGATACAAAATGACAAAGAACAATAATTTGTTGCGGTAAACTACACTTGAACTAAATTTTTTAACTTGGAGCCTCAATAATAGGATTTATACTCTTTGTTAGTAGATTTTGGGTTGTTAGTCTTTTCTCCCATATGGATCCCTGCTTTATAATGAATTCATAAATAAAACATACATCTTGTACTTAAAATGCAGCTTAGTACAGAACTACATAAGTCCATAACTGACAGATGAATTGGGCCGGCCGTTTGTATTTTTGTTTAGACTCGGCTAATCAGAGATTTTCCAAGAGGCGACTGCGTGTTTTGTTTTGCTGCCTCCTTTTCGCCCATTATTTTTGATGCGTTTTTTGAAATCTATGTTTTTAATCAGCGCGTAGATGTTCACGCTGAGGCCCAAGGAGCGCTCTGTTCTGTTTTGTACCGGCTCGGAAGAAGCTGGAGGGTAGAGTGTCCTTGGGAAAGCACAATGTTTGAAAACGCACGCATTATTTGGCTCACAACATTGTACAGAACAGCTTAAGGGAAAGTTTGAAGTTGGAGTAAGTGCCAAGAAGTGAGTTTTAATTGGATTTTTGGGGATGTGATGGTTTTTGTACTGTCTATTGGATTCGTTTCTCTATTATGTAACTGCTCTGTTAATGGGTCCATCGTCAACTTTTCTACATTTAGTTTATTAATTTATTTGGTTGGGACAGTGCATGTTAATGAACACACCTCTCCTATAGCCTTGGGCCTAAAAGGTTTCATTCAGGACTACTTTTGAATGCGCTGGAAACGGCTGCAAGTCCTAAGTAGCTCTGAAACAGTTGTTGTTTTGTGTTTTACGATTGTTATTTTTCTTCTGTTGCTGCAGTTCAGAGTTTATGGTTTTACACCAGTCTAGACCAGAGCGGAGAGGATTCATGGTCCGAACCAAGCGGATCAGCCAAAGATACTTTTTGAAAAATGCTAATGAAGAATTCAGCCTTTTACTTTGGACTAGAGCAGAGAAAATGGTCTGAACCAAGCGGCTGCTCCACCTTTGCTGCTGTGACCTAAAGTACTGTTACATTTAATTATTACTGTTGTTAGCTTTTGTAGAGTAATCAATTTGATTGTTTTGTTTGTGTGGATTGATGTGTTTTTGCTGCTACTGGACACCTGAATTTTTCCTACGGGGATAAATAAAGTATCTATCTAATTTTTATCCATTGTCCCAAAGACCCTCTCACAAACACACACCCTGACCATTTGTATATGTTTTTAGTGGCAGGGGAAAATGGAGCACCCGGAGGAAACCTACACAGACATGGGGAGAACATGCAAACTCCACAGAGAAAGGCCTGGAGGTGGAGTCAAACCCAGGACCTTGCTTGAATCACAAGCGCGAACTGTAGCACCAGCGTGCCGTTCAGTAATGAAAAGATGAAATTGTAAAGTTAAATTTTAAATCGTTCTTCAATAATGAGCCTTTTTTCATTTCTGTTTCACAGAAAAAAGTCTTAAAAAGTCTTAGGGTTAGACAGTGAAGAGACCCTTGTTAGACCCGCCCACTTTCATCCCTGTAGATTCATGATGGGTCGAAATTAATTAAAATTCTTAAGGTCTCTGGCCTGTTGGTTTTGATATCTGGATCTTAAAATGTCTTTATTCTCTTCAAAGGTTTCATTCAGGACTTCCATGAGGCATAAAGTAAATAAGGACAAGGGTGGATCAATTGATGATTATATGAATTAAAATACAGTAATGTCCAGTAGGTCCACATAATAGCTGCAAGAGATATAAAAATGAGCAAAAAATCTCAATTTGAGTGGTCACAAATTGCCAATCACATTCATTCAATTCAATTCAATTTGTTTTGCCCACATTGGGAAATAGGCTCCAGCTTCTCCCGCCTTCGGCAATCACTATGGTGACGTCTGCACTCGGCCAGTCCACTCCCGATACACGGTCTATGGGTGTTTTTCATAATCACACATAGAAGAGCATATATACCAAGTAAACCAGAATACTTTAGAGCGTAGCTGCACGCCTGGGTCCTGCTGCAGGGAGCGTGTAGAGACGGTGCTAATGACATAATGAGAGTGGCTCCTGTGTGGAGCGAGGGCCGGTGCAGGTGTCACTCACATGCGCCCACGTCCCAATAATAAAATCCAGTCCCTTTCTGCTCCATTTAGGAGTAATTAGCACGCCTTATCAAGCCTGCACACGGACTGGCCTGTCCTCTCGTCACCGCTGCCCCTTTTCACAGGAATATTACGGATGTTATGAAAGACCGATGCTGTGTTTATGTAATTAGTGTGTCGGCCGAATTTTAGAACTATCCTGAAGCGGCGTGCTAGATTGTAATTATAATTTGCCAAACTTTAGTGAGACTATTTTGCAAATACATGGTATTTTTTGGCTTCTCAGCACATCCGTCATCATATGCAGTCAGAATGAAAACAAAAAACAATAAAAGTGGAATTCTGGTTTTAATTGTAGATTTCTAAGGGTCTCTGGACAGTTGAAGATCCGGGTACATTTATCTGTACATTTATGGACATTTGCTATGGACCAGTGACTCTTATGTGTTTTTTTTATTGTAATACTTTGTGTTAAAATTGTTTGGTTTTCTGATCTGCTGTTGGCAAATCTAGACTTTATGATTGTGATTTTCATTTAGAGTTAGGTTTGTTTTAAAGGTGATGTCTGCAACTTCATTTGGATTTTGTTTTGGAGAGAATACATATTTGTTTACCACATGGCCCTGTAGTATTTTGTTCATAATAAATATATTTAAAACACTCCTTCCCCTATCGCCAGTGAGGTTTGTTAGAGGTGAATAGTTAGACCAATGGGAAATGTCATTGCGTCCAATCAGGAAGCTCTGGGGGCGGATCTAACTGGTGTTTCCATTAACACTTCTCCATTGTCACATAATAAAAGTAACTGAACAGCGCTTAAACAAGAATACATTTATTTCCTCATGTGACTTTAAACAAATCTATGTTTTGGTGGTTGCTTGTACAGTAACTACTGTCGTTACAAGAAATACAAGAAAACATATCTTGAAGAAAAAGAAAAATAAATACACATTTGTTTAGGGCTATTGTAAATGAGGTTTGTAATTGCAGGTTTGTATCATCCTGAAATTTACTGAGGCATCAAAGTTTAAAGAACCTCTCCACAGATTGTTGAAACTATCCAAACAATGGATCCTATAGCAAACATCAATAATCATTGTGACCCGATAAACAGTTTATCTCCTGTGTATGAAACAAAAGAAGAGCTAATTTGCAAAAAACAATCCATGTTTTTCCTCGAGCTACAATCAACATGTTTAGTTATTGGCAATTCATTTTGAAGTATTTGCTCAAGAATGGACAAAACCTTGTTTGTAGGGCACTAAAAAGATCTGGACTTTCACAAAACTACTTGGTAAAGGGCAAATTGTTAGCGCTTTGAAGGTTCTTCTAATAAGACAAAAAAAGTGAAGAAAGCTAGTACTGCTTAACATTAAAGGTTTATTAAAAGCCTTAAAGGTCTTATTAAAAGAACCTTCTTAGTCTTCAACATAAGGAGACAAAATGTACTTTTTTTATGGCAAATTGTATGCCTTTCAAATATGACATTTATCGGTTGTTGCAAATAAACTATATTCAAATAAATGTTGATGCCACAAGCGATTTCTTTCTTTGTACACAATATTTAACAGCTACTTGAGGACGTTGAATGCAGCTAATCCTCTAACAGAATGTGCCTTGGTTGAACATAATAATAGATTTTACTATAAACCATTTTTCACTCCACAGAAGCCCAGAGTGATAATTATTCACTGCATGAAAAGCTCCACACATTTCCAGACTTTTTTTACACTGTACTTGCACATTGTTTGGTTTTATGGATAATTTTCAGTCCGGTTCATGTGACTGGCCTCGCATTTGCATAGCAGCGTGTCTAATGTCATTTCCTTGTTGTTGTTTTTCTTCCCAGGACCCGCGGGCCAAGCACAAGTTCAAAATCCACACATATTCCAGTCCCACGTTCTGCGACCACTGCGGCTCGCTGCTCTACGGCCTCATTCACCAGGGCATGCGCTGTGACCGTACGTACGCTCCAGATTCTCTATACTGTGTCACATTCCTGAGTATATACCCAAGTTTTATACGCTCAGGAATATTGTTTTTTCCCCCAGATCATTCAATTCAATTTATTTGTGTGTCCCTAAATCACAACAGTAGTTCGGGGGCTTTCCAACAGAAATTTCCCCCATAGAACTCAATATAAACTAAAACAACTCAACCTCAGCTGACAGAGAACCTGCAGCTTTCATAAATTCATATTTTGTGGGGGATTTTACTGTCCTTTGTCATCTTGAATTTTTGTTTGCGTTAAATCCATCAGTTCTCAATGAGTCCACACTATAGTGCAACAAACTCTGCTTGTTTTTCTCCCGCTCTGATCAGCAGCACCGGATTGGTCAGAGCGCGTCCTCTGCCCCTCTTATTTATTTGTTGTTTATTTTGTTGGGACAGTACATGTTAATGACCACATTACTCCAGATTGTAGCCATGAGTTAATTTGCGTCCGTTGTCCCCCATTCGCATCCACAAACACACACTCATTCACCCTGAACTACTGTACAGTGTATGTTTTTAGTGGTAGGGGAAACTGGAGTACCCGGAGGAAACCTACGCAGACATGGGGAGAATGAGCAAACTCCACTCAGTTCCGACTGGGATTCGAACTCAGAACCTTCTTGCTGGAAAGCGAGAGTTCTATCCACTCAGCCACCGTGCCGCCCACACGGTCTTTATTTGCATAAGAGCCACGCGCGCATGCTCTTTAGTATTTGGCGCAAAGCATCATGGGAGCTTAACCACTGCGCAGAACAGGGAGGATCAGAGAAATGCCCAAATATGGTGGGCATTTCTAATCGGCCCCCATGGTGGCACATGCGCTAGTGAGCACAAGCTATTGATTTGAATACGCCGCCATCTTGGATCGCCGGGGCTTGGTTCAAACACACAATGATAAAAACACATTAGTCCAAAGCGGGCGGATTACCATAAATGTTTTTAGATGTCCATAAATTACGTTGCATGTTGAATGTCCTGGATCAGCATCACTGTTCTTAGACCCTCCTGCATCAGCAAGGAACAAATGTAAAAACCCTCAGAGAATAGTGAGAAACCTCGGAAACAACAACAAACTAAAAGTCGGGAGATATCCTAGTGTGACTAAAAAGTTTAATTCCCAATAATCCAAGATTTACACGTTTCTTTGAAAACTAATGTTAATTATGTAAATGAGCTCATTACTAATCTGATTTGCCCAAAAACAGCACACATCACAAAAGGCTCCTTTTTCTCTTCAGATCACAAACAACTCTCCCACTTTGAACGTCAACGTGAAAAGTAACATTTTTTGTTTCTTTCAATATTATTGTACTTTTTACATATGAGCAAAACAAATATTTGAGGAAACAAGAATCATTACTTGTGGGTAATGTGATTATTTAACTTGTAATTGAAATTCATGTATTATTATTTTGAATCCAAAAATATAAATTCAGTGAGTTTTCTCAGTTAAAATGAGAAACCCACAAAAAACAATACAATGCAATATAATGCTTTACAAAAAATATATATACTTAGGTCATAAATGAAACTTATAATGTTCAAAAGTTGTTAGTTTATTTCTGTCGAACAACAATGTGAAACCAATATATTCCACAGACTCATCACCCTGAGCCCTGAGGATTGTCCCTGACCCAAAATGACGAGCTGTGAGCCATAATTATCGCCTGTACCGTCATTTTCTACCCATGTATTATTCCATTTCTGGGTCAGGAGGGAGCTGCCACCCAAGTCTCAAAGTACCAGCCCCTCGCGGATCCAGGATGATCGAAGACATTACCTTGGTCTTTCAGCTGGGACTTCAGGCAAAGTGGGGTTAAAGATGCAGTTAGCGATGTTGTTAGCTTAGCCGTAGCACCAACTGGAAACCACTCCCCCCTCCCCTCGCCTCTCCACCAAACCAAACATCCAGCATTTTCTTTTCTTTGTCACAACAGGGAGAGCGGGTGGCAAACGTGAAATTGGAATTTTCTGTTCAGCCATTTAATGTTTTAGAAAATAATTCGATAACTCTCAGGTGCACTCGAGAGAAACAGGAAGGGGGTAAACGCATCCCATTGGTTCGTTGGGGATGGACAAATCCCAGTATCTGGTCAATTCCATTAGTATTTGAAAACACATGATTACTTGACTACTTTTAGGATTTAGGGACATTTTCCCACAATATTGAAAAAAATGCATCTGGAAAAAATCCCTGACTGCATCTTTAAGTGTCTTGCTCAGGGACACAACGACAGCAGACATCAGTGGGAGCAGATGGAAAGTTACATACATTTCAGCTCAAATTGTTTTTGCTCTTACTTAACGGCCACCTCTTATCGCTTAACCTGCTCCTTCTGAACCAGGTGGACAGAACACCAAAAAGGCCATATGTAACATGCTTTTTTTGCTCTTGTTCTTGTCAGACTGTATGATGAACATCCACAAGCGCTGTGTGGCTAACGTGCCCAGCCTTTGTGGGACGGACCACACGGAGAGGAGAGGGCGCATCCAGATCACAGCGGACATCAAGACCAACGTGCTGACCGTCACCAGTAAGTCCTCCGCTTCCATGGCGACGGTTCAGACCTTTTTTCTAGGTCACTTTGGAGAATGAAAAGGAGAAGGAAGGAGACGGGACCGCACTTATAAACTCTATTAGCAATTAGGAAATCGCTTAGAATGCAATTATCGAGGCCAGAGATCTCCAGCCTTTTTAGTGTCAGGGACCGGTTTATAATCTGATAATAATGTCAAGGACCGGCAGCGGATAGTCGCACTTTAAACAGAAATCGCAAATCTAATCATACTCGTAGCGGTTGTATCTGAAAAATCACATTTATATATTTATTTAAAATGGTGAAGCCTAGAAGAGCTGCATGCATATGTTTATGAACTTGGATACAGACACAGACTTGTGCAGAGCAGTGGCGCCCTCTACTGTAAGACTCATGCACATCATGTAGTGGGATGTATCAAAATGCACAAGGAAAATGTGCAGACAGCAACAAAATATTACAGTACTTTTACATCTGATTCATTGCACGTTTACTTCACTTCATTTGGGAGAAGGAGGGAAATCATATTTATTAGGTTAATGCCGGGGTACATAACTTTCAAAACCACAAAAATGGGACCTTGTAATAAAATACATACAATAATAATTCCTGGGTCCAAAAACATTTTGCTTAAATCACTGGTTTTCACATGGATGTAGTTTTGGCTCTCAGCCCCGAGTGCGACTCACAGGGCTCTTTCTAATGTATGTAAAGACTCTTTCTGGACATTGATTTTTTTTATCAAGCAAATAAAAGTAGGTTCCTCAGCTGGATGATGGTGATTAATCAGGTCACAATGAACTGTCCCTGATAGTTGTCCAAATGTCGATAATAAAATTAATCATTATTTATTTTTAGTAGCTCTGCACTTCTCCACTACATATAAACATGGACTGAAAAGTAAAAGTACTTTTTCCTGATGGTTAGAGACTGAGATGTCTCTGAGGCTTTGTCTATAGCATTTTTAAATGTAGTCATTTGACAATGAGAACTAATATTGCCACCATTTTTCAAATACTTTGATTTTTCATCTCAAAGTACATTTATAATCCTCCCATCACTGTCAAATGAGTAAAACAATAACAAGCATTGCATTTTCAGACAAACAAAATGGTTTAATAACTGCCTGGTTTAGTTATAATGCTTCCTTTGTGCATGTAGAATAGAGAAGATTATAAACTTGGCTGAAATGTGCCGTGTTTGAAGTTTATTACACAAGATAAACTGTCCCTTGTGTAAAATTTTAATATTATTCATCAGATTTAGTGATTAAATCATTGCATTATTGTTTCATACCACACAATGACAAACATTAGCGTGGTAAAACATAATTGAATAAAACAAAACAGTAAAATAGTTTGAAAACGTGACTCTCATACCATTTCTGTTGTTTTGCACTAGAGGGCGCCAAAGTCCTGTAGAAACTTAGAGGGCATGACTGCTCTTCCACATTCCATACACATGTTTTAAGTGTTTGATTTTATAGACTGTAGGATCATGAGGTTGTTTCCACGGTAACGTCGCTCTTCCTCAGAAGCCTCTCACATGACGTGCCTTATCGGCTGCTCCTCCAGGCCGTGGCCGGTGGGGAGCGGTCAGCGGCGTGACCCTCAGGCCGAGAAGATCTGCAGATAAGGCACGAGGAAACATGTGAAGGTTATAACATCACTCATATGTCTGATGTGGAGGAATCTGATCCACGGGAAAAACCACATGAACTGTGTGAGATTTTAGCAATTGTATCTCTGCAGAAAGTCACTATGAAATCACACATCATCTCAATCTCTTACAGAATGTCCTGATAACTGTATTCAAACAAACATGTGTTAAATGGTAATTCAACAACAATGAGCTAAAAATCAGAGTAAAAGGAAGTAAAACAGTGCATGTGCCTTAAATGTAGAACTACTTTAAAATCAATGTGGAGTCGCAATTTTAATGATTTATCAGATTAAAAACAGGCTCAAACATAATTACATTAAAAACTTGCTTCACACACATCCTTTTTGGAAACTATGGTGGACATTAAGGTAAAACTAAATTAAAACAAAACTTGACTAGTCTCTGTAGTTGTAGTATTGGCTGTTTATTTCAAGCATGCTCAATTATTCACAGAAAATAAACCATGTACTTGTTCTGATTAAGACTTCTTTATTTGTCCCACAGTGGAGAAATTTCAGTATTGCCTCACAAGTTAAAGAACAGTAGGAATTAGTAACACACAACACAAGATAAGTGAATTTTAAGTATTATTGCAGATGTATACATAAATGTATACAGTACATTTCATGCAATAAGTACTGATATATCTGTGTTGCAATATTAGGGTTAGTACACATCTATCTATCTAGCAAGTCATTAACTCTGAGGGCTCAAATATTCACAGTGATGAAACGTTAGCATGTGAAACTACTGTACATGTTGCAGCATGTGAAACTACTGTACACGTTAGCAGGATAAGGGGCTGGGCTATAAGTGACTCATGACAGGACACATGTAGTCCCATATTGCACATTCTAATATTATTTCAAATTATTGCAAAGATGCAAGACATGTGAGGTCAGGTCGGCTGTGTTGGTTAGTCCTCATTGTTCGTTGTACAGTCTGACAGCAGCAGGAAGGAAAGACCTGCGGAACCTCTCTTTCACACGGTTAGGGTGGATCCTGTTCAGGACCCTCCTGTCCCTGACCTGCAGCTGGATGCACCAATCCTGAGACAGAATGATCTGTGAACAGAACTTGATAAACAGAGTGAGGGATGCGGTGAGGGTGAGTCTGGTCTGGCCGGCTTCACTGCACAAGTGAAGCCGGCCATGCCCCTGGCCACACCCCTGGCCACACCCCTGGCCACGCAAAATTAAATTCAACAAAACTTGACTAGTCTCTAATTGTAGTATTGGCTGTTCATTTCAAGCATGCACAAGACATACAATTATTCACAGAAAAAAAAGCAAACAAGAGAACCTGTGAATAGATTGAAAAGGCATTGGTTGAAGCAAAAAGGTTATATTACCCCATACTGCCCAGACATTCAAATATATACTACAAAACAAAACAAAACAAGAATCCATACCCTACAGTACCCTCCAACAAAATACATGACAGCAATTTGACTAATGCTCTTATTCATACACAGGCCCAAAACACCCACAGACCCCACTCCTCCCCCCCCCCCCCCCCCCCCCCCCCTTTGTGCTGAGGGCATCAATCTCCTTCCTCTGAATGCTTCTTAGTATTTGATTTAAAAAAGGAAAAAATGTATTGAATCAAATTTGTGTTTTGGACGTCTTCATTTCCTCATCTAAATCATTCCAAACGTTCACTCCTCGCACTGAGACACACATCGATTTGAATGTGGTCCTAAATGTAGGTCGATAAGACTGAGCCTCGACTGCATACAGTATGAAACTATTTTGTGGCGGGGTATTTGAAGGTATAGGAGGATTTTCCCAAATTTTAGGAAAGAACCACCTAACACTTTTCGAACCAAACTCTCTGGTCTTATTTGATGAGCAAGTATCACCAGCATTATTGACTATTGAGAGGACCTATAGTCTTAATGATCCACCCGGAAGTAGACAATCTCTTATCAACAGTGTATTAAAAGACGTACTATCTGTGTATAGTGTAATGGTGTGTGCGCTTTGCATTTGCTGAACATAACTTATTTGAGATCAATTATTGTGCAATGCTCGTCTCAAAAAAAGCAAAACCGCAGCTTAATTTTCCACTAATTCACCTTCTACACAATGTAAATTAATTCTGTCCACATTCAGAATCGCTATGGTATTCAACACTCCAATCCAATTACTCCAAATTTCCATAAATGCAAATGTCAGGTCTCTTATCTTTTCCAATTGACTTGTCCGTTGTCTGCCCTCACATTTTGGTTCCCACGCTTGTGCATTTCTCATTAGCTGGGAACTAGAGGCAAGCGGAATTATCACCAAATAAATTATTCGTAATTGTTACAAGAAACCTGAAGTTTATTCCACCAAGCATTTACAATATGATGCTATAATTTGCTACCAGTAATGATAACATGTACAGTATGTGATGAAAATGGTAGAATAGGGGCTAAGGGTCAGTACCGGCTTTGTTCCACAGGGGGCAGTGTGTAGCCAGCTGTATTTCAGGCCTGATTGCGGCATAGGGGACATAACTAGCATGATGAGAACAGCTAGACTTGGTATTTTGTCATATTTTGTGTAGTCTACTTCCTGTGGACGTACTGGTCAGTAAGAAGTCACTGTCTTCACACTAACTGGAGATACTGGACAGCACATGTGGGAAAGTCAGACGTGTGGTTCAAGATCGAGAAATCTCAAGGGTTGTTCATATGTATACGCCTGATTGGTCTGTTAATTGTTAATCATTCAAGTAATCAGAAGTAATTTGTTCAAACTCTTTTAAAAATATGTTTAATGGGATTTCTATCGGTGGCATAGTACTTTACCCCACAGGCCTCACAGCTCAGAGGCCTGTGAGTAAAAATAGCTTACAACCAGTGTGGATTGAATGTGTAATGATTTCTGTGTTGTGCTTTGAGAGGATTTACAAGCCTGTTTATTATTATCACTACTTGCACTTAAAATTTACAAAAATTTACAAAAAAACTACTACTTGATTGATTGTTCTGGAGTTTCCATGGTCTTGGCAGGGGATGTGCTCTGCGAGTTCACGCTGTAATGGTTTTTTTATTGATGAAACTGAGAAATGTAACATTAGTCCAGTTTAGGGAGACAGAGAGATCAGAACTCATGTTGAATGTCTGCTTCAAGTATTTATTGCGAAACACCGGCCATTGTCTTAACTTCTAACTTTCAATCGTTATATCGGCTGGCATGCAATTTAATTTAATGTCAATACCAATAATCATTGTTGCCTTTTTTTTTTTTAAATCAAATAAATGAGAATGTCTGGTGTTAAATTGGCCATTTAAGTCTGTCATCGGCCACAGGAAGTCCCCATGTAGTTTCCAGTGGAGGCAGACCGAT